CACCATGGTTGGATGAGTGGAGGATGGCTGTGAATGTGGGGAAGACGGCCGCTCTACTCACCCGCCGATACAGGAAGCCACCACCACCATTGAAGCTAAGAGGCCAAGAGATCGCGTATCAGAAGGCTGTAACCTACCTTGGGTGCCGGATAGACAGGATGCTGCGCATGACCGCGCACGTCGACATCGTCGTCCGCAATGCCAGATGTGCGCGGGCGATGCTCCGTCCAGTCCTGGCATCCAAATTACCAAGGAAAACGAAGATCAAAATATACAAGCTCTACATAAGACCGAAACTTACATACGCCGCTCCGGCCTGGTACGCGCTCTTGAGCAGCAGACAAATGCAGTGGTTGCAGGTCCAGCAGAACCTATCACTAAGGACAATTGTCGGTGCAGGTCGCTACGTCCGGAATGACGTCATAGCGGCCAACCTAAAAATGGAATCCATAGAAGAGTTTGTGGTCCGGTTGTCACGCGGTATGTTTGACCGCGCTGACAACGGACCACATCCACATCTCAACAACTTTGCGCCGCTACACACCCGCCCCCCGGACGGGCGACCTCTGCCAAGAGAACTCCTCTCTACAAGTGATTAGAGAGTTGAGTAAAACCCTCAATGCCGCAGATAGGCCAACTTAGACGCCTTGGCCGTATTAGCCGCCTCCATGGCGACTTACCCGACCAGGCAAAATTGGATAACCACAGGCCGAATTAGGCGCCTTTTTCAGGCTTAGGCCGAATTAGGCGCCTTTTTTCAGGACCAGCCCATACAATACGCCTTTTCAGGCTGTTTCATAAAAATTTAGAAGACCCACAATGCCTGATTTTATCGGCTCCCAATGACCGGCCCATAGAAATGGGCCGTGAGAAAAATCCGGGTTATAGGGAAGATAAGAAGAGAAGAAGCCCCGAGGCCCGAGACCTGTTGGGTGTAGTACACCTCAGCAGATGACAACGTAGTGTAGTAGTGTCGCCACCTGTGTATTATCCTACGTAATATCAATTTGTGTACGATATATAACAACAATTTACAATTTTCCTTTGTTATTATCATCTATCGCGAGTTGTGTGAGTCAGTGTTTGTAGTTCGTTTGTGATCTAATACTACTACTACTACTACGAAGTAATGGCAGATACAGCAGTAGCTTCCGAAACTCCCGCTCCGGCGACTCCGGCGAAAAAACCGAAGGCCGCCGCTACTGCAGCAGGTGGTGCAAAGAAGCCCAAGGCGAAACCCACTCATCCGAAGACTTCCGAAATGGTCACCAGCGCAATTAAAGAGCTGAAAGAGCGCAGTGGATCATCTTTGCAAGCGATAAAAAAATATATTGCCGCTCAATATAAAGTCGACGCTGAAAAACTAGCTCCGTTCATCAGAAAGTACCTGAAGAGCGCAGTCGAATCGGGTGCGCTTATACAGACAAAGGGCAAGGGGGCTTCCGGTTCCTTTAAGCTTGAATCAAAATCGTCCGCCTCTAAGAAACCGTCGACGGGTAAGAGCAGCGGTGGCGCAAAGAGCGGCGCGTCCGCCGCTAGCTCGGTGTCGGCGAAGGTGAAGAAGAGCACCGCCGCGGGTAAGGGTAAAAAGGCAGCATCGGCAGCGACCGCATCATCACCGTCTAAGGCAAAACCGTCTGCAGCTACCAAGGACAAGAAGGCGGCCGCCGCGAAAGAGAAGCCGGCAGCCGCAAGAAAATCCGCAACCGCTGGCCAAAGCGGCGTTTCTAAGGCGAAAGGCGCCGCTTCGAAGGCGAAAAAGAGCGCCAAACCACCGACAAAGAAACCTAAGGCTCCAAAACCGAAGAAGGCGGCAACACCCAAATCGAAGCCTTCCGCGGCGGCATCGAAGAAGGCAGCCGCTTCTAAAAAGTAAGGTCCGCTGTCACCGCCTTCCGTCGTCATAACCACCGCCGCCGTACCTACCTACGTACGTACTCGTACGCGTAATTGTCACGCGCGTATGTGATTGTGTAGTGCATGCAGGCTGATGCTGCTGAGAGACAGGTAGGTAGGTAGGTAGGTAGGAAGGCAAGCAGGCAGGCAGAGTGACAGCAAGACGGGACGGACGGGACGGGAGAAGGATCCTCGCGGGTGAACGCGAGTGCCTCGTAGCGCCGCGGCATCGGGCCTATTTATTTTTATTTTATTCTTAAAAATAATACCTATAAAATAAATGGTGTACGTGTGTCGCGTCGTATACGAATATGCGCGAGCGACCGCAATGCTAAAAAGCCCTTTTCAGGGCTAACAAAAATTTCCTATGAGTTTCTTATACGTCACGCGTCAATCATAATGATTGCCTTATTATATATATTACCTACCTATATTATATATATCGCACCATCCCTCACTTCAATCAAATCAGTCAGTCAGGCAGTTCTATATAATATAATATAAAATATTATGTAATTATGTAAACATTGCAACGAAATAACGAACGCACAACTTATGAACGCACGATAACGATTTAACTAAGTAGGTATATAAATTCGAATAAGCTAAATACACGTATATTAAAACAATAAACGTAGATGCGTCGTAAATGCGTTACAACAATTTACGAAACACTAAATACCTCTATATATATATACACACCACCTACTCAACGAATTCAACGTACTACGTTCACACTTTTAAAAAAATTTTAATAGGTGCCTAGGTAAAATAGATAACACAACCGAATCGAATCGAATCGAACCGAACCGAACGACCGACCGACGCGACGCGACGCGACGCGACGCGACGAGACGAGACGAGACGAGACCCTACACGAACGTAACACGTATAATATTATGTATATAAATAATATTATCACTTTCACACTCCCTAATTTTCTTGTTACAGTTTTTCGTTTTTCTTCCTCTTCGACGACGATATATTATACTATTCTATTCTAACGCGTCATATCCTATTGCTGCTACCTAGTATTCTTCTTTTTTTTTTTCTTCTTTACAAGTACATTCGTTTCGCCCTCGCCCGACTGCCCGACTCCCAACTCCCAACTCTGACTTGAGATTTTCCAACTAACTAAAAGTCTGACCGGACCGACCGAGCAAACGTGTTGCGTTCGCGATCCCCACCCCACCTAGTGGCGAATCGATGCTGGCTATATAAAGGAACGCCGCGAGTTTAAAAAAATTAGGAGTGAGAGTGATTAGAGAGAGTGGATTCGGTTGTCTGCGCTCAAGCCGCGCGGACGTATTCTTCGGTCGAGCCCATGCGCTCCCGAATTACTAAGTTGCAATTGTGCGAAAAAAAAGACAATAAAAGGATTAAGTGCTCGAAGTGCTTCAGTGGTGTTGTGCGTCATTGCCGCCGTCAGGTTGCATCGGCCCGCCGGCCCATTGTTCTATTGTGTTAGGGATTAGTGTAGTGCCCCACGCTCTGCCAATTTCCAGTAAAAACTGTAAGTAGTTTATTACACACCGCCGTGCCGCCTCAGAGGCGGCTATTATATTGTTATTGTATTAATCTCTGTGTTCGCTTGTCGCATTAGGCGACAGCTAGGTACACACCCTAACGTACCAACGCGTTAGGTATATAGGTGTTCGTTTAAGCACTCACCTTGGTACACAAGTGTTTTCTTAAAAACAAGACAAGATGGCGGCTATAACCATAGCCGAACTCGCCGACTTTTTCAGTCGTGCGTGCCCCGACGTTTGGGCGACCTTTCTAGCGCAACGCCAAACGCCCGCTGCTGAACGTCCGACCGTGTTGGTGGACGACCCTATGTCGCCCAGCACCGGACCCGCGACCCCCGCGTCCGTAGAAACGCTTTATGACGTAGGATCCCCCGCGCCTTCTGCGCTCTCCACTCGTGGGCCGTCCCCGGCGTTCTCGGACGCCGAGACGGGCTCCGAAATGGAGTTCGACGTCGCGAAACCCGCCATGCCCGATGACGAAGGCTTCACCGTAGTCTCGGGCAAAAAACGTAAACGTCCCGCCGCGAAAAAGGGCGGGGTCTCAACGACGGATGACTTCCGCGCTTTAACTGCGCATCTTAAAGTTCAGAAACTCAGCTTCCATACTTACGCCCTTGCGGAAGAACGCAACCTCCGCGTAGTCGTTCGCGGGCTCCCTAAGGAGCTCGAAACCGAGCACATTTTAAGCGATCTTAAATCGCAGAATCTCCCGGTTAGGGAAGTGCACAGAATGCACCACCCCACCGACAAAAAAAGATACCTAGACCTTTGTCTAGTTATCTTAGACCTGTCCCCGGAAGGGAAAGAAATTTACAATATTCGCCGAATCTGTAATCTCACTGGGATTACGGTAGAGGCCCCCCGTAATAGGGGCATCGTTGGTCAATGCCACCGATGCCAACTGTATGGCCACTCGGCCAAAAATTGCTATGCGAAACCTAGATGCGTTAAGTGTCTAAGGTGACCACGGCACACCCGAGTGCACCCGAACGCCCGAGTCGGAAGGCCCTCCGAGCTGCGTTCTGTGCGGCGAAGCGGGACACCCAGCGAACTATCGCGGGTGTACCAAAGCGCCGCGTAGAAAGTGGCGCGGAGGCGCAAATCGGCGCGGACGAGCGGCTAGCGCTAGTAGGTCCCGTCCTAGGCAACATGCCCCATCATTAGCACCGATCTCGGTGTCTCAACCCGCGCCCCCTCAGCCTCACACCAAACCCGCCCCCGCTAAAGGGTCTTCCGGGCAAGGTGTAAGCTCATCGGTGCCTTCAGCACCCGCGTCGAACGCATGGGTTAAGCCCCCGGCGATTGTTAGCGCGGCCGCCTCACGGCCAGCGCCCTCTCTCCAGGCTCAAAAGCCCAAACTTGCCCCTCAGGCATCTTCTACCTTCGCTGCTGACTTCTCGTTAGTCTGCAGCTTCTTCAACAATATTAATGTTGCCGAAGTGTCTTCCCTGGCCCGTAAACTACGCGAGGCCAAATCCGCTCAAGATAAGCTCAATGCCACCATTGAGCATATCAATCTCATCGACGCGATCGGTTCATTCCAATGCGCCTAAATAATAATCTCTCTAAAACAAAATGGCAGTACAACATACAGGCAGAACCAAACCTAGCTCACTGACTGTCGCGTTCTTTAACGCAAACGGCATCAGAGATCAAAAGGAAGAAATCGTGTACTTTTTACGCGATCATGATGTCGACATCATGCTAGTGCAGGAGACCTTCTTGAAACCTAGCGTGCGCGATCCCAAAATAGCTAATTATACCTTAGTAAGAAATGATAGGCTGACCGGACCTAAAGGCGGCACCTTGATCTACTACAAAAGATCCTTGCACTGTATACCGTTAGACACTCCACCGCTTGCTAACTTAGAAGCATCGGTATGTAGAATAGCACTTACGGGCCATCCGCCCGTCACAATTGCCTCGGCATATCAGCCACCGCAAAAACCCTTATTAGAAGCCGACATCTCGGCACTACTAAATCTAGGCCCCAGCGTAGTAATCGCGGGTGACCTAAACAGTAAGCACGTTAGTTGGAACTCTAACCTAAACAATCCAAACGGAAACATATTATGCGGCCTCACGGAGAGACTTAACTTCGACGTTATCGCTCCTGAGAGCCCAACTCACTACCCATTTATAGTTATAACGTCACCAAAGTCACCAACCGGACGTCCTTGACGTAGCTATTTTAAAAGACATCCGGCTTAACATTAACTCGATCGAAACTTTCATCGAACTATGCTCGGACCATAGGCCGATCGTATTAGAACTGGGCCGGTCGGCTGGTGAGGTCCCTCAGACCAAAACCATCGTCGACTGGCGTAAGCTCAAGGTCAAACTTGAGTCTACGAACTCCCAGCGACCAATACGAGCTAAGCAGTCAGAGGCAGGGGTTCGCATTCCCCCCCTCGGACTGCGGTTAGATAGCTCAAAATAAACCTCTACGGAGGGGACATGATGATTGGTAACAATACCAAATCACAAACCATCATCATCCTCATCCTTATCCCAGCTACCGCCTTTCCACTTTTAAATAGCTCGCGGCCTTTCAGGCCGCGAGCCCTGCGTCCGATGAAGCTGTAAGAACCGCATAGGTTAACAGCGTAAACATCACAGAAAATAGTTAAAAAAATTAGTTTATATCGGTGTTGACGTCGTCTATATAGAGGCGAGTGTTTAATTTTTCTACATTTCTAGAATTTTATTATTACGTATTAACGACAATGTCTGGACGTGGTAAAGGCGGTAAAGTGAAGGGAAAGGCAAAGTCCCGTTCGAATCGTGCCGGTCTACAATTCCCCGTTGGACGTATTCACAGGCTGCTGCGAAAGGGAAATTATGCAGAGCGTGTGGGTGCCGGCGCTCCGGTGTACCTGGCCGCAGTCATGGAGTACCTCGCCGCTGAAGTTCTAGAGTTGGCCGGTAACGCTGCTCGGGACAATAAGAAGACCAGAATCATACCGAGACATCTTCAGCTTGCCATCCGCAACGATGAAGAGTTGAACAAGCTCCTCTCCGGTGTGACGATCGCCCAGGGCGGTGTACTACCCAACATTCAGGCGGTCCTTCTTCCCAAGAAGACCGAGAAGAAGGCCTAAACGAGTGTGTACACTACTCCCGTCGCATTACTACACCACACCACTAGGCCCAAGAAAATGGTTGAGAACTTTAGACGAGAGTATGCGTCGACGTTTTATCGATCGGTAATGCCCTAATTGTACTATATACGTATTACATATTCTGTTTTACGCTCTTTAGTATAATAATGGTGCATTCGCCGTCCGTCGACTCGTGTCTCTACTGCTCTATTGCTATCTACCGTTCGTGGTGGTTGGTACGTGATTAAAAGGCCATTTTGAGGGCCACAAATACTATCGATAATTTATAAATTTAGTCTCTTAGAATGCGAACGTTCTTTAAAGCCTCTTTCCTCAGTTCCTCCTATCCTATACCTTATTCCTTTTTGTACGCTATTACTTTCTATTGGTAATGGTAACGATAAGACGAGAGCCATATTTATTATGAATTAATAATAATCAATAGACTAAAAGGTAAAAAAAAAATATATTTTTTTTTTTAAGAGAAACATATATAAATACTTACCGTTCAACATATTATGTAGTAAAAATCTCTTATGAACTTCACCGTTGCCGTTGGCTTTAGATGGATTAGAGGATTGCCTCGCCGCGATAAATGGACTCAATGTATTATGTTAATTATAAATTTACATGCATTATTAAAACATTATCAGTAGTTATTTTATTATTATAAAATATTCGATAATGATTTATTTTATTAAAATAATTGGGTATTAGTATAATTATATATTACTTATATTGGAATGTTTAATAAAATAAAAATTGCGTTCTTTCTAAACTAATCTTCCGCCCGTATCCCCTACTCTCTACCCTACCCCTTCCATTTGTCCGGGCAAACTGGTCGTTGATTGGTTGATCTACACTCGATACGCTCGTTAGACCACTAGCTAGTAGAGTCACCGTGATAGTCGTTATATAAGAAAAAAAAATTTTGTGTTGTTCAGTGATAATTTAGTATTATCCGTGATCACATTTACATTAAATATTCTTCAAGATGCCGCCGAAAACTAGTGGTAAAGCCGCCAAGAAGTCTGGTAAGGCACAGAAAAACATCTCCAAGTCGGATAAGAAGAAGAAGAAGCACAAGAGGAAGGAGAGTTACGCCATCTACATCTACAAGGTGCTCAAGCAGGTGCATCCCGATACTGGTATATCCAGTAAAGCGATGTCCATAATGAACTCTTTCGTTAACGACATCTTCGAACGCATAGCCGCAGAGGCCTCGCGCTTGGCTCATTACAACAAGCGTTCGACTATTACTTCACGGGAAGTGCAGACCTCCGTGAGACTGCTGTTGCCCGGTGAACTCGCCAAGCACGCCGTGTCAGAGGGCACCAAGGCAGTCACCAAATACACCAGCTCCAAGTAAGGTCGGTGATTGGTGTGTGTTTTAGGTGTATTTCAAAAAGGAAAAGAGATGGGTAGAGAAGTCTCGCCTGTAACCGCACATTTGTCGACCATATAAAAGCATCGCCACTCGCGACGATTTCAGTATCCCGCGCGTTGAGAACGTATAGTCGTATAGTGAATATATTGTGTATTAGTTGGGTTAGTGTAACGTAACAATGGCACGTACTAAGCAGACCGCTCGGAAATCCACCGGTGGTAAAGCGCCGCGTAAACAACTGGCCACCAAAGCAGCCCGTAAGAGCGCACCAGCAACCGGCGGTGTTAAGAAACCACATCGCTACAGGCCCGGTACCGTCGCTCTCCGTGAGATTCGTAGCTACCAGAAGAGCACCGAGCTCCTCATCCACAAATTGCCGTTCCAACGTTTGGTGCGTGGAATCGCTCAGGATTTCAAGACCGACCTCCGCTTCCAGAGCTCCGCCGTGATGGCCCTTCAAGAGGCTAGCGAATCTTACCTAGTCGCTAATAATAGTGGGCTTCCCCTGCATATTAGCAACCTATTAAAAGCCAAAAAAGCTGCTTTTCGGAGAGCAGCAAAATATCCCACGCCCGAATATAGGCGCACGGCCAATCGTCTTCAACGAGAACTCCGTTTCCGCCTCTCTGAATTTCGAGACCTCGAAAAGAGTAAGCTCATGGAGAATATCTCTCCCTCTCATACAGCGTACTATCAGATGGCAAGAGCCCTCCGCATAGACGCTATCACCCACACTCCCCCTCTCTCCCGTCCCGACGGTACGGTAGCCTTCGAGGACGAGGAAAAGGCTGAGTGCTTTGCAGACAGCATTGCCGCTCAATGCTCTCCTAGCTCTCAACCCGTCGACCCCTCACACATCCAGGCAGTGGAGGATGAGGTCCGCCGCAGGAACTCGCCCTCTACAGCCTCCGAACCTATCTCTGTGTCCAATGATGAGATTTCATCCCTCATCAAAGGACTTAAGCCTAAAAAGGCTCCGGGCGCGGATGGCATCTCCAACCAAGCCCTAAAACACTTTCCTGAGCAGGTGCTAACCCTTTTATCTATTATCTTCAATGCCTGCTTCAACCTTAGTTACTTTCCCACTACGTGGAAAGAGGCAACTGTGATTGGTATTCCCAAGCCAGGCAAGCCTCTTAACCTCCCCTCCAGTCATCGTCCCATTAGCGGCCTCAAGGCCATGGGCAAGCTCTTTGAAAGAGTCATTCAAAATCGAATGAGGCGCTATCTGTTTCCCACAGACGGTGACCCTATTGTCATACCCCACCAATTCGGTTTCCGAGCGAAACACTCTTGTCCCCAACAAGTTCACCGTATTGTGGAATATATCCTCAGCGGTTTTTATCCTCGTCGTCATAAGACCATCGCGGTCTTTTTCGACATAGCTAAAGCCTTTGATAGAGTCTGGCATGAAGGCCTTATCTACAAATTATACAAAATAGGTCTCCCCGATCGTCTAGTACGTCTCGTGGCCTCTTATCTAAAGCATCGTACCTTTCGTTTTAGACACGAAGGCACGCTATCTTCTCAGCGTCCCATCAAAGCTGGTGTCCCTCAGGGCTCAGTACTTGCTCCTCTCCTGTACATTTTGTTCACCAACGATATTCCCATCCCGTCGAAAGGTGTTCAGCTCTCCCTCTTCGCAGATGACACTGCCCTATACTGTAAAGGTACCTCGCTACCTTTCATACGGAACAAGATCCAAAAGTCAGTTGATGACCTAGGAGCTTGGTTTAAAAAATGGCGCATCGATGTGAACCCGGAGAAGAGCTCCGCCGTTCACTTCGATTATAAACGACGCCGACTCAAAAACACTCCACCAATACGTATGCTAGGGACCCCTGTCCCCTGGCATACGACTGCCAAATATTTAGGCGTCACTCTTGACACAAGCCTCACTTTTAGGTCCCACGTCAAAAGAGTAACCCGTCACGCACGTTTTTACCTGGGTAGGCTCAACAGTATGTTGGGCCGACACAGTAAAATGTCCATCAGAAACAAGCGTACCCTTTATAAGGTCTGTATACGACCAGTCATGTCCTACGCGGGCTCCATTTTTGCCCACGCTGACCCTAAAATCATTAATGAACTCCAAGTAGTTCAAAACCTCTTCTGTCGTCGAGCTACGAACGCACCTTGGTACGTCCGTAATGCCGACCTTCATCGGGACTTAGAGCTCCCTACAATCCAACAATTCCTTAAAAAACTCTCTGAGAATTTCTTCAAAGCCTCAGAGTCGCATTCAAATCATTTTATTCGTGAGGCAGCTAATTATGCAGCCCCACTCCCCTCCCGCTATAGCGTCCGCAGGCCGAGGAACTCCCTCTCGGACCCGCCTAATAAACTTTCAAACGACCTGAACTGCCTCCTGGCGGCTCAGGCCAATTCTAATTAAGTTATTCATAATTAATTTGCCTTCCCAGGCACTCCCTCAATGGCTAATAGCCGCCTGCGCCCTCTTTTCCCAAAAGAGGGTCGCTTCCGATACGGCATAAGAAGCTTTAAACAGCTAGTTGCCAGTCCCCAAAGGCGGTTTTAGAGGGTATCACTTAGGTTCCCCCGGTAGGCAGTGAGTCCCTCATAACCACGATAGACCGGCTGTCGTGGTATGCGTAATGCATTTTCGCCTCCCTAAATAAAGGGTAGCCCTTTTCCCATTGCTTCGGGCGCAAAAAAAAAAAAAACACGACGATTTCAGTATCCCGCGCGTTGAGAACGTATAGTCGTATAGTGAATATATTGTGTATTAGTTGAGTTAGTGTAACGTAACAATGGCACGTACTAAGCAGACCGCTCGGAAATCCACCGGTGGTAAAGCGCCGCGTAAACAACTGGCCACCAAAGCAGCCCGTAAGAGCGCACCAGCAACCGGCGGTGTTAAGAAACCACATCGCTACAGGCCCGGTACCGTCGCTCTCCGTGAGATTCGTCGCTACCAGAAGAGCACCGAGCTCCTCATCCGCAAATTGCCGTTCCAACGTTTGGTGCGTGGAATTGCTCAGGATTTCAAGACCGACCTCCGCTTCCAGAGCTCCGCCGTGATGGCCCTTCAAGAGGCTAGCGAAGCTTACCTAGTCGGGTTGTTCGAAGATACCAACTTATGCGCGATTCATGCAAAACGCGTAACCATTATGCCGAAAGACATACAGCTGGCGCGCAGAATTCGCGGGGAACGAGCTTAATAAACTCTACTCTACCGATTGTATTGTGAACTACGTTTAATTTTTAACATCAATCATCGATTGGCAGTGTGAAAGTGGCAATATTAAATATGCCTCATTAACAACAACTACACGTTGACAAGATGATGATGATTGTGTTGGTTTTAACGTATGTTCTCTTTCACTTTCATAAAAGGCCCTTTTCAGGGCCGCATATGTTTCTACACAATAAACTGTGCGTTTCTTTAGAATATAAGAGAACGTTAAACGAGCAAGTAATAGATAGATAGATAGATAGATAGATAGATGGTATGGTATGGTAATATTATGAGATAACAAAAACATAATATCGAATTAAGGCTCAGCAAATCGAAATGTTTATTTAGATACCGTTTAAAAAAAATAATAGATAGATGTACTAATCTAGTATAATAGACGACAAACTGTATACTATTTAACATCATAAGATACACAGTAGGGTAAAGCTTACCTGTCTCACGACGGATGATCATTCATCACCATCATCGACGATCGGCGCCGACGATGCCTGCGCCGCCGCTGCCCGCGAAGACTACCACCACCAATGTTCACGCGCAGAACGCTTCTGTTAGTTAGGATGCAGTTTTTTTTTTAAATAGATAAAAATCTTCGTCTTCATAATAATATAAATTATAATATCTTACTTTGGATAATCATATTAAATGAAGTGATACAAAATAGAAAACGACATGTTTCTACAATAATATTATCTGTACTTTATATACACCTCGTTCACCCCGCGACATTATTTCATGGCGGGCTTTGAGTATTAAAATTAATGGGGGATTGACTAATTTCTCTTTTTTTTTTATAGTATGCGGATTGACCTCAGGACTCATTGGATGGAGTCTAGCCATTGTCGCAGGACAAAATCGTATTACCTTATACGTAGTAACTAATTAGATACCTTTCTATATTCTAATATATAAATTTTATTTTTGTTTGTTCGTATATAATGCGCTACCATACCGTTCATCAGATTGCGCTAAAATTTAGTCAACTTATTGCTAACTAATAAACTTACAATAGATGGCGCGCGTATCGAACTGACAAATTTATTTATTTATTATTATATAGAGACTACCTCTTCCAAATTTTAAACGATATTTCGACAATTTTTTTTTTCCGTGTACCATCTACAGCAACACGAAACATCCACCCCCCCCCCCTCCCCCCGCATTCGCCTGATTATTTGCCCGCCATTTTATACTTCCCCGCACCCTCGCCTCAGCCGTCTCAGTCGTCTGGGTGACTTTATATAAACGGGAAAAAGTTGGTGCGGTCTATCTGTCGTCGTGCGTTCGTAACGTACGTTAAGTCTCTATATAATATGTATATTATTTCGTGTGTTGTCTTTCTTCTCTAAGCGAAAATGACCGGTCGCGGTAAAGGTGGTAAAGGTTTGGGGAAAGGTGGAGCGAAGCGGCACAGAAAAGTTCTTCGTGATAACATCCAGGGTATCACCAAACCGGCTATCAGACGTCTCGCACGCAGGGGCGGTGTGAAACGTATCTCCGGGTTAATCTACGAAGAGACACGCGGTGTACTCAAGGTGTTCCTTGAGAACGTGATTCGTGACGCTGTTACATACACCGAGCATGCGAAGAGGAAAACCGTCACCGCAATGGATGTCGTGTACGCCCTGAAACGTCAAGGACGTACCCTCTACGGATTCGGTGGTTAATTTCTTATACGCTACGCGATGAAGACGTCGTCCACCGCCACGTACTACGGCTCTCTGTCCGCTCTAAGTTCGTCTATAGTACACCATGTGCGCAGTGTGTATTTGCTACTTGGTATGCGGGACTCTGAGAGTTAAGTTACGTGATGAGACGATTTTCCTAATCGTATAGGTTAATAAAAAAAAGGCCCTTTTCAGGGCCGCAAAACTATCGATATAACTTGTATTTGTTTCGTAGAGTATCGTCATTTAAAAAAAAAAGAAATGATATGTGCAAGCATGTATTTTGTTGTATGGATATGTGTATAAATGGCATGATTATGTATATAAGTGCGAATGTATGTGTGTTTATGATCATGTATGTAAGTGCATATTAGAATTAGATGTGTCTGGTCTATAAAGTTATGTTATTTAAAAGCTGTAAAGGCATCACATAAGATTTATGTATACCAATTAAACGCGGAACAAAATTAGGTTTATTTTTTATTTATTTTTTTAATTCGAAATAATTTCGAAAAACTGATCTGAATGAAAGAAACGTCAATTCATGTAGGCATTAAATGACTATACTCTTCTTAAATTTGACGATACCTATTAAACAACAAGTGTAAGATATCGCCATATTGAAATAATGGTTCGAACGTCTTAGGAATATATTATCATAATTCCGAATTGTATTTTTTTTTTCTCTCTTATTTATCTCCCTTATTATTTAATATATACATAATAATATGATATACTATATTTTAATAATATCACACTTCATTTTTTTTTTAAATACTTAACGCTTTATAAACATACGTTGCTCTGAATCGTGCCCAGCTTTTGTACGTATTTTAAAGAAGTATGGGAACGTGTTGCAACATTCTAGAAATAATGATGATTTATAATAATTATTTCAGATTACAGTGGACAAATTTTAAAATATTATAGACTATTTTCAAAGATCGTACGCTTTGTATAGGGACTTCGGTCTGTGAGCCTCGAGACCTCTTCGTGTTTTACGACCTTCGACGTATAATAGGTCGTTGCATTACGAATAATGCATTACCGGCGTGACCTCTGCCTTCTGTCTAACCTCAGGATATTAACTTTCAATAGACCGATTTAAATTTAACTAAACTAATGAGCAAATAGAGAAAAATCATTTTAAAAGGCGGCTCATGGTACGCTCAGAATATAGTGAACAAAATAAACATCCATTGCTCGTTTCTCGATCGCTTATATACGTAACGGGTTTGTCTGTTACGTGCACAATCTCAAATATATACCGTATTAACTTTCTGAATACGATAATATTTATATATCACGGTAAAAATTAAATTTTATTCGAGACGTTCTAGTGAAAAGACCGACCGCGCAAACGTGTTGCGTTCGCGATCCCCACCCCACCTAGTGGCGAATCGATGCTGGCTATATAAAGGAAGGCCACGAGTTTAAAAAAATCGTCGACGCTTTGGTGAGTCATTTCTGCTAACAGTTCTTGCCCCCCTGTCTTTGGGCAGGGAGGTTTGACTGACCTCTGCTTGTTATTGTTATTTTTATTGTTAATTCTTATTGTTAACTATTTCTAATTTTGTTTTCGTTATTTATTTGTATAACGTGTACGTGTATATACTGTTTCTAGGGAGTTACTTGCTCTTTTCAGAGCAAGGCCCTGCTCTTTTGAGAGCAGGGGCACTTACTCCTTGAATAAAGAACGTCCCGTTCTTTTGAGAACGGTGATCCCCCGCCCTTACTGTTTAGGTACAGAACGACTCTGTTCTTTTCAGAACAGCACCCCCTAGCCCCTTCCGTTTCAAATACATACTGATTCGTAGACCCTCAACATGTCCACAGTTACCCAAGTTAAGTCCCTCGTCGCCGCCCTAAACCAAACTCTTGGTCTGGGCCTAAACCTCGATGAGACGGCCCTCGCCGCCATCGCCGCCCTTGTTACTCCACCTGCCCGTCAGACACTCCAACCGCCGCCCGTACTCGCGGCCTACCTAGAGACCAAGAACTCTTTCGCCCCATTAGAAATGGAGTACGCATGCTCCGAGTCCTCTGCGTCGGACTCCCGGAAGAGGCCCGCGACCAATTCTGGCACCGGTTCATCGAAGTCCTGTGACCCCGACGGAACCGGGGATTCTTCGTTCACCGCGGTGAACTCCAAGCGCAGCGGTAAACGCGCCGCGAAAAACCGCACCGTCTCAGCGGCCCCTGCCGCTCCTTCAACCTCCGCAGCTCCCGCTGCCGCCTCTAACCCCGCAGCCCCCGTCGCTGCCTCGGCCCCACTTATGTCACTAGACATCCCCGCTCCGACCAAGCCAGCCTCTCGCTGTGCTCCAGTCTTTGCCAAGAAGCAAGTCCCGCCCCCTGTCTTCCTAAGAGACAAGGCCAAATTCACAGAACTCTCCAAAACCTGCTACAACGCAGGCATAAAATACGACCACGCCATTAACCTCGGGGAGGCTATTAAGATCATCCCCCAATCAATCGACGACTTCCGGCGTCTCACCAGGCTATTCACAG